TTAAAATTTATGGGGTGATTCCACAATTGGTTGTGTTCATTAATTTATTAATGAATTTGCCAGGGCATTCATTAATTTACCCTAATGGGCTATGTAGAGAAAATGAACGGTTCATTTTCCTGATATTAAAACGTTATTCTTATAATTATAGCCTTATAATATAGCCCTATGGAATTGCTAAGGGAAAATGAACCGTTTATTTTCCCATTCATAAAATCATCTTGAGTAAACTCATTAGGACCTCTGATCTTATTATTATGAATTCTAAATGTCCTCATGCCAAGATATTACATACGATATTTTCTCAATCCAGATTAATCATCATAATAAAGAATACCGATGATATTACATAAGGATCATAAATTACCGAAGTTCGATAATAATGAACATGAATTATTGGAATCATGTTGAAACAATAGCGGTTGTGGATGGAATCCAATGAATATTCCCAAAAAACATCTTGTCACTTTTTGACTTCCTTAACCTCTGGCCAGATATATATATAATATACACATATATTGTCAATATATGGGTGCAAGTCAAATTATAAGGTCCGGAACAAGGTCCGGGACCACACCCGTTCCATACCCCCGTTCCATACCCCCGTTCCATACCCCCGTTCCATACCCCCGTTCCATACCTGTTTGAAGGATCCGTTCCATACCTCTGTTCCATACCTCTGATCCATACGTTATAATACATATATATATATACACATAGTCATATATATATACATAGTCATATATATATATATACACATGTTATGTAAATAATATGATGTACTCATATAATTATCATTAGTGAAATATGTTAATTTGATAGGTCAGAAAGCCATCCGCATGGTATATATTGTTCACGTTCCCGGTCCCAGACTGTCCAATTTCTTGTGATGTCAGACCGGGTCTATGGCTTGCACACTGTGTCCCTTGGGCGAGCATCTTGCCTTGCCCAAGCTGAGAAAAGATTCCGGTGGTACCCCATGTGCAGGTGCAAAAGGGTCACTCCCTTGCTTAAATAGTGGGAAACAACAGTCAATAGCACTAAAAACAGTTGAATAGCGCTGTAACCAACTTAATGGCTCTCAAACTGCCTTTCAAACAATTCCAGTGGCACTGAATAGCTCTCAAGCCTCAGCCCAAAACCCCTCAAGATGTTACTTTTCGGAAGGGTCCTGCAGAGCAGTAGCATTAGATGTTGCTTAGTGGTTTCACCAGAGATGACACCTGATCGAGTCAGGATGAGTCAGGATGAACATCCATTTTCCCTCGGCCGCCATCCCCGCCACTCACCGCGAGGGATCCGGTTTTTCGCCGAGGTATGCGAATGATACTGGAATGCCTCTTGTTTGTGCGAGTCGATGGTGCAAATATTTCTTAGTTGTGTTGAATTCCTTTTCTGTCCCTGCAATTGGAATGATAAACGTATTTTGGTGCAAACAGTCTGGGATAGGCAGTTATGTGGCTGGGCATCAGACATGTGAATTCAACTTGTTTTTGCAAACAAATTATGACATCACACAGGTACAGCATGTTTGTTTGATTTCATCCTTGTACTACGGTGAGTATTTGAGAAATGAGCAGTGTGAAGAATTTGGGTTATTTTGTCTTTTCGCCTCTACCCTTTCATGGTCTTTGAATGTTTATCCGTTGGGCTTGGAAAGCTGTCCAGAAAGCTTTCTGATCTTGATCCATTCTTGGGGGGTTCACAACTCATCTTGCTCAGCCATTCAGAATATGTAGCTGGATGGACGTCCAACTCAACGACTGTGGGTGGCTCAGGACCGAGTGCTTTATTTGCGGTGCCGGGACAGGGCAAGAAGAGAAGTGGACCACCAGCCAAGCCGTGGTTGCGCAGGGAAAGGACAGCACGGATGAAACTAGGTGGGTTTAAGGCATCGTGTTTTTCAAAACAATTGTTGAGGGGGTTTCCATACAAAAACCACCTTTCGATTAGTAGGGGTTCTCTTTTTCCCGAGAGCGTCTGAGCGCAGGGTTCTTCCAATAGTGGGGGTCTGTCAAACATCTTCTCATCTTCACATCTCATCTTCACATCCTCTCATCTTCACATCTCATCTTCACATCCTCTCATCTTCACATCTTTTCATCGTTACATCCTCTCATCTTTACATCCTCTCATCTTCACATCTTTTCATCTTTACATCCTCTCATCTTCACATCCTCTCATCTTCACATCTGCTCATCTTCACATCCTCTCATCTTCACACCTTCCCATCTTCACATCTGCTCATCTTCACACCTTCTCATCTTCACATCTGCTCATCTTCACATCTGCTCATCTTCACATCTGCTCATCTTCACATCTGCTCACATCTGCTCATCCTCACCTCTTCTCTCACATCTTCTCTCACATCTGCTCATCTTCACATCTGCTCATCTTCACATCTGTATCTCATCTTCTCATCTTCACATCTGTTCATCTTCACATCTTCTCATCTTCACATCTGTTCATCTTCACATCTGCTCATCTTCACATCTGCTCATCTTCACATCTGCTCATCTTCACATCTTCTCATCTTCACATCTGCTCATCTTCACATCTGCTCATCTTCACACCTTCCCATCTTCTCATCTTCACATCTGCTCATCTTCACATCTGCTCATCTTCACATCTGCTCATGTTCACATCTGCTCATCTTCACATCTTCTTATCTTCACACCTGCTCACCTTCTCTCTCATGCCTTCTTTTTATCTTTCTCTCTTAAGGCCGAGGGTGGTGCCGGCGGCGAGTCACGAAACGTCAACCCTTTTGCACGAAATGAGGGTCGATCGGCAAAAACTGAGGTAAAATTGCGATTTGACTTGTCCCGGAGCAACCCTTTCGCACGAAATGAGGGTCGATCGGCAAAAACTGAGGTAAAATTGCGATTTGACTTGCCCCGGAGCAACCCTTTCGCACGAAATGAGGGTCGATCTGCAAAAACTGAGGTAAAATTGCGATTTTACTTGTGCCGGAGCAACGCTTTCGCACGAAATGAGGGTCGATCCGCAAAAACTGAAGTAAAATTGCGATTTTTCGTGTGCCGGAGCAACCCTTTCGCACGAAATGAGGGGTCGATCGGCAAAAACTGAGGTAAAATTGCGATTTGACTTGTGCCGGAGCAACGCTTTCGCACGAAATGAGGGTCGATCGGCAAAAACTGAGGTAAAATTGCGATTTGACTTGTGCTGGAGCAACCCTTTCGCACGAAATGAGGGTCGATCGTCAAAAACTGAGGAAAAATTGCGATTTTACTTGTCCCCGAGCAACCCTTTCGCACGAAATGAGGGTCGATCGTCAAAAACTGAGGAGAAATTGCGATTTTACTTGTGCCGGAGCAACCCTTTCGCACGAAATGAGGGGCGATCGTCAAAAACTGAGGAAAAATTGCGATTTTACTTGTCCTAAAGCAACCCTTTCGCACGAAATGAGGGTCGATCGTCAAAAACTGAGGAGAAATTGCGATTTTACTTGTCCCCGAGCAACCCTTTCGCACGAAATGAGGGTCGATCGTCAAAAACTGAGGAAAAATTGCGATTTTACTTGTGCCGGACTTGTCTGTGTGTAAAAGCGTCTGTGTGTAAAAGCGTCTGTGTGTAAGAGTCTCTGTGTGTAAAAGTGTTTGTGTGTAAAAGTGTTTGTGTGTAAAAGTGTTTGTGTGTAAAAGCTTCTGTGTGTAAAAGCGTCTGTGTGTAAAAGACTGTGTGCAAAAGCGTCTGTGTGTAAAAGCGTCTGTGTGTCAAAGCGTCTGTGTGTAAAAGCGTCTGTGTGTAAAAGCGTCTGTGTGTAAAAGCGTCTGTGTGTAAAAGCGTCTGTGTGTAAAAGCGCCTGTGTGTAAAAGTCTCTGTGTGCAAAAGCATCTGTGTGTAAAAGCGTCTGTGTGTAAAAGAGTCTGTATGTAAAAGGGTCTGTGTGTAAAGCGTCTGTGTGTAAAAGGGTCTGTGTGTAAAGCGTCTGTGTGTAAAAGTGTTTGTGTGTAAAAGCTTCTGTGTGTAAAAGCTTCTGAGTGTAAAAGCCTCTGTGTGTAAAAGCGTCTGTGTGTAAAAGCGTCTGTGTGTAAAAGCGTCTGTGTGTAAAAGCGTCTGTGTGTAAAAGACTGTGTGCACAAGCGTCTGTGTGTAAAAGCGTCTGTGTGTCAAAGCGTCTGTGTGTAAAAGCGTCTGTGTGTAAAAGCGTCTGTGTGTAAAAGTGTTTGTGTGTAAAAGTGTTTGTGTGTAAAAGCCGCTGTGTGTAAAAGCGTCTGTGTGTAAAAGCGTCTGTGTGTAAAAACTTCTGTCTGTAAAAGCGTCTGTGTGTGTAAAAGCTTTGTGTGTAAAAGTGTCTGTGTAAAAGCGTCTGTGTGTAAAAGCTTCTGTGTGTAAAAACTTTTGTGTGTACAAGCGTCTGTGCGTAAAAGGGTCTGTGTGTGAAAGTGTCTGTTTGTAAAAGCTTCTGTGTGTGAAAGCTTTTGTGTGTACAAGCGTCTGTGCGTAAAAGGGTCTGTGCGTGTTTGCGATGCAAACTATTGTGTTGCACTTCTGCTATTTTGTCTTAATACTCCTCTTCTCGACTGCCTATAACACATCTTTAATATATTGTTTCTCATCTGGTGTCTCCATACTAACAAGAGAAGACCTGCTCCTCTACGCTCTCGGGCCATCCGTCGTCTAGTTCCTATCTTTTTCAGGGGGCTCTACTTTTGTGCAAGCAAATTTCAAATATGCATTCCTCCATCTTTACGTGGATCTGCATGGGGTATTGGTCCAAATTGTTGGTTTCACTTCATGCCCAAGATTGTTGGTTCGATACCCCTTGTTTCATGGCTTTCATGTCCATTTTTACTTCGGGCATGGGTGTTCTCCATTTGCGTAAGAGGTTTCAACGCATCATATGAAGCAGGTGCTTTGCTTCGGAAGGGCTCTATACCGATGGAGTTTTTGGATACACCTGTTCTTTTTTTCCTATTTATACACCGACTTGTATTTTATGGTAATTATGATACGGCTAGGGTTATTTTCTTTTCTAAACACTGGATGCAGTGTGATACTTGTAGGTTGACATGGAACTTTTGAGGGCTGAAAACATCTGACCCGATTTCGGTTGCTTCCATTTGTGAGGAGACGTGGCTTCAGGTTCAGGGTTCTGTGAACCAATCCTACTGCGGTTGCATTGCAGGCAGCGTGCGAGCGCGGCATTGGTGGTCTCAGATCAAGGGGTGAAGATGAGAATGGGAAATTGAAATGATAGGAAGTGAGGCTAAAGTTGGAGTGGCTATGAAACATTATAATACTATGCCATTTTTGAAGGGAATGGCACACAATTGCTCTTTGAGGCAAGTGGGTGTTCATAGGGCTGGACGATGGCAGGGGGTACTTTTACTCTGGTACCGTTTGATCAGAGCAGATGACATCCATGACATGACATTTACCTCCCATTTTCGGATTAGACAAGTGCTAGATTGTGCGTCATACCCTGCTATGGAACTATGCCACACCCACCCCTGCACCTCCACTGTCCAATCTGATGAATTTCTCCGCACCATCCAGGCACATATCTATGGAATGGTCGTTGTGAAGAGTGTATTCAAGGGTCCATTTGTGAAGGCTCCAGCCACTTGACTTTTCCGCCACTAGATTGGGGGGAGCAGAATTAGGGGATGACCTTCCCGTACTGGTGGATGCAGTGTAAATCAAGGGTTGCATGGGTTGGCTTTTAGCCATAAACGGAGGAATGTAATTTTCCACTAGAGATCAGTGTTTTGAAAAAGTATGCAAGGGCAGCCATGATTGGTCTAGGGGCTCGAATGATCAAGAATCAGATGAAGAAGCTACTACGATCATCACAGACTGTGGACTGGTACTGTAATGCCAACTGATTGTAACACTTGCGAACCTGGAGGTTGCTGGGACTAATAATATATAGATAGATATAGATTTATTCTGCATTGATTAATGATTGGAGTCCATGCCTACCTAAAGATCCAACCAACAGCCTCTGAGAATGGTCATTGTGATTTTTATCTACGTTAAGGTTTGCACAAAAGGATTTCAATTTGAAAGACACACTTGATCAAAAGCAAGATACCAAAACAATGCAACACCATCTGACTCCATCTGAGTTCGAGGAACCCCTCATGTATCATCATAATTTTGCTGGGACCCCAGCCCCGTAGATGGTTTGCGTCATGTCCAGCGTCTTTAGCTTCGTCAAAGTCGAGGTAAATTGTTGCTGGAGCCAGGGTTCTTCTCCAGACCAGAGGTGGATTGCGTCGAGGGTCGATCTTTGGTTGGCCGGGTTGGCGAAGAGGGTGATTGCGTCGCTTGCCATATGTTTGTTGGATTGCGTATGTTTTATCAGTTTTATCTTCACTATCATATACTATCATGAATATCCACCTGAAGAACGGTCTTGCTTTGTGTCATTTCAAGGATGCAGTGAAGGTTGGGCATGTGAGTAAATCACCCCATTAAGGAGGATATGACACACCAGACCCCATGTTCCATGCCGACCCATGATGTTTCTAAAGAGCTTCTTGGTAAATCAGCTGCATTGATGCATGATTCATATTTGGCGAAATTGGTATCGGTATAAGTCCCGCAATTATCTAAGAAATTTATAATCTACAATTGATGTTTCTTTGGATAGCAGAACCCCGACAGTTACTTGGTACATTATTTTAACACCAGATCTCCTCTCGATGTTCATCAGGTTTGTCATCACAGTTGATATCGCTTGCTTTGATTTCTCACTGCCCAACTTCTGTTGGTTGTAAATTTTGTTTTGCATTGTTTTGCCACTTGCATCATACTATGGTTGCCAATATCCCTCTTGTTTTCTATCTCTTTCCTGGCTGCATCCTTTGCCATGGCAGGAGCCTGGAGCTGTGTACCGCTGCTTTGAAGAACCCGTTCGCTGCCCCGGTGGTGAGCCGGGCACCTGCGCCGTTGGTCGTGACCACCGGGAAGGGAACACTGTGGCAGATTACCTAAGACCAAGGGTGACAACGTTTGGCCGTGGGGGCCTCTTCCAACAAAAGATGCGACCTGCTAAACAAGGGACTGCGATGAGAATCTCTTTTGAAAAGGGAGCCTATAGGAGTTTTGGGGATGCTGATCAAGATGTGAGTATTGTATCTAACATATTCTAGCATGAAGATGCGTCAAACCATCTCTTGGAACCATACGCTAATTGACCATAAACTTGAGGCAGTGCTGATTGCTGCAAGCAAGGACATCCCAAGGAAGCATTTTTTCTTGATGTGATAAGTGTGATAACTGCTTGCAGCTGGGTAAGCCTGTGTTTGGTCGGTTCAATTTTCGGCCATCAAGTGGATACACAACTGAAGGAAGGTCATGTATACAAATGTATCATCAATGATCAACAAGTATCAACAATTGTGAAGATATGATATCATATCCCACCCAAAAACAGCAACTTTTCTCGAAGGGGTCTCTAATTCCATTGATGGGCTGGCAGGACACCAGCACAGTTGCCTGTAGTGCATGTCTTCCCGGCCTACATGCTACGGACTGGGGCTGGGGGTGGACTGCGTGTCCAGGAATGAAATCAACTGGTTGGTTGTTTCACAGAAGTCCTTTCGCTTTCCGGATTTCCATCCTACGTGAGAATTGTGGACTGGGTTGAAACCGCCAACCGACGGACGGTGGATTTAACATTTCTTAATTTGGATTTTCCCTGCTTTGGGATGCCTTGGGAATTACCGGGTTATCTGGGTTTGCTCATTGTGAGAAGCACACTATCTGGATTATCTAATGTTTGCGGTTAGATATCATATTCCTTCCCCAAATTTGCTGATAATGCCACCAGTTCCATGCATATCCCCAACTCTGTCGGTAGAGACACTCCAAATTTGGCTTGACGAGGATGGCATTTGTGTGGAATGTGGTGGAGGGGACTATGCACTGCTGATCACGGTTGGCATCATCGCATGTGTGTGTATTGCAATATTGTATTTAGCTTCTGAGCTGAATGTGGCGTCCAAAATTTAGGTTCGCAGGATGTTTTGCCACGGTTTACTGCTTCCAGGGCGACCAGTGCTTGGATGTTTAGATGATTTTGGGGTTACATGTTGTGGCTTGGGATTTTATATATTTTATAGGGAAACTGTAGGCAGCAGTGATGCCCCGGTGGCGGAATTGATTATGGGAGAGATTGATCATTCCCGGCCAAGTTGTCGGTTCCGGTGATAAATGGGCTAATTTTCAGTGTTCCTGAGGAATATCATATGGCTATATGGCATATTATGGCATTGTTTCCCACTCAAAGTCGACTTCTTTCACGTACATCTAGGGTTACGCAAAGTTAGCCATTTATTTTGTCCAACCTTCAAGTATCTTATTATTTCCAAACAGATCCAAGCAGCACCTTTTTGATCTCTTTTGATCCTTTTTGGCCTTTTGGGAACATGATCAAGTTCATTCAAGTTCCACATCTCTAGATTCTTCCAGCCTTCCACAGCCGAGGTTTTGGTGAACGAGGGTCAGAAGAGTCGCCAGCCAGGCGCCGTGTCCCAGCAGTGGCCCCATTGGTCCCACCGTGTGGCTTCGTCTGAGGCAGCCTTCTGATAGCTGCCCTGGGCATGGGCCAGATGGTGACCACCGTTCAGTCACTGGGTCGAAAGGAAATGGAGGATAGAAGTTTCTCAACCTTGGCTGAAGAACAAGATCCAGATATCCTAATAGATCGATACCAGTATCATATAAGAACAAACGTATACAAACACGGAGGTAAAACTCCAAACTTGCATGATTTGATAACACATGACCATTTGTATGTTACCAGTAGTACCGCACAAGGCGGTGGCGGAAGTTTCAGCATAGGAAACCTATAGGAGAGGTGAGTTGTTGTGATGCATGGATGACAGAGCGAATCCACTCATGGACCGAAAGTTGGTTGGAGTATGTTGGAGTTGTTTTTTTGGAGTGGTTGCAATGGTTGCAGTGGTCACCTCACCTACAACTCCTGGATGTAATGTGGTGTAGTGCAGTTGTAGTTGTAGTGTAGTGTAGTGGAGTTGTAGCTGCAGTGTAATGTATTTAGTGTAGTGTAGTTGCAGTTGTAGTTGTGGTGTGGTGTAATTAGCGTAGTGTAATGTAGTGTAGCGTAGCGTGCTGTAATTGTAGTTGTAGTTGTAGTGTAGTTGTGGTGTGGTGTAATTAGTGTAGTGTAGTGTAGTGTAGGGTAAAGTAGTGCAGTTGTAACTGTAGTGCAGTGTAATTAGTGTAGTGCAGTGTAGTGTAAAGTAAAGTAGTGCAGTTGTAGCTGTAGTGCAGTGTAATTAGTGTAGTGTAGTGTAGTGCAATGTAGTGGTAGTGGTAGTTGCAGTTGCAGTTGTAGTTGTGCTGTAATGTAATGTAATTAGTGTAGAGTAGTGTTGTGCAATGTATATAGTGTAGTTGTAGTTCTAGCTGTAGTGTGCTGCAGAGTAATTAGTGTAGCGTAGTGTGATGTATTGTAGTTGTTTCTGTAGTTGTAGCTGTTGTAGTTGTAGTGTAATTAGTGTAGTGTAGCGTAATTAGATGTAATTAGTGTAGTGTAGTGTAATTAGCGTTGTGTAATGTAGCGTAGTATATTTGCATATAATAGATTTGTAGCTGTAGTAGTAGTGTAGTGTAATAGTGGTAGTTGTAGTTGCACTTGTAGTTGTCTATTTTTATTTATCTATCTGTCTATCTGCAAGCTTGAAAACGAAGCTATTCTGCGACACTCCCTCCATTTATGAACTTGACAACATCTGCGAGACTTCCTCAATTTTTGAAGTTGGCAACATCAAAAAAGAACCGATTCTGCGAGACTTCCTCAATGTTTATAGTTGGCAACATCAAAAACAAAGCAGTTCTGCAAGATTTCCTTCAAATTTTGAAAATTGAGTGCAGAGCTGACGGCCTCGTGCCATTGCGTTTTGCGATTTTTCCAGTCCACCTGTCTAAAGGACTGCGCCTGGCACGAAAAAGTGATGCCAGGTCATACGAAGTGCTGCACCTGCCACGCAAAATCATCTTGGCAAACTTGAAGGTCTGATGCTCCAAAATGCAACCCCTCTCAGGAAATCAGCGCCCTGACCTCCTAACATCTCTGATGGACATGTCGCTTGTACTGCGCCTGCACGCAAAACTGCAAAGTCCCCACGCCTGCCATCGTTTTTGAAACTGCCACAAAACCCTCACGTTTTGCTCACTTTTGACCAGGTGCACAATCCCCTGCGCCTGCCACGCGAAACGACATCTGAACGTCCAAAAGTGCTCCGAAACCGTCATGTTTTACACTTTTGACTTGGAAATGTGCTTCGCGCCACAACGGCGTGCACTTTTTCGACATCTCAACGTCCAAGAGTCCAAAAGTGGTCCAAGAATGGTGTGCTTTCTACATTTCGACTTGGAAACGTGCTTCGCGCCACAACAGCGTGCACTTTTTCGACATGTCAACTTCCAAAAGTGGTCCGAGAATGGTGTGCTTTGTACATTTTGACTTCCAAATGTGCTTCGCGCCACAACGGCGTGCAACTGTTCATCTCTCATCTGGCCAGATGGCTCCACACCCGCCGCTTTAGCGAGCCTACTTTTCGACCCTCCAGAGCCACAAACCATCAAAAAAACACAGTGTTTCGCGACTTTCGTACCTTTTCGCGCACCTGCATCTTCTTTCTTCTGATTTTTTCTCTTCTCTGATCGTCTCTCTTCTGCTCTTCTCTTCTCTGACTCATCCCACCTCTGCTTTTCCATCTTTCCATATTGTCCGAAGTTTGACTTCTAAACTTCCTTCGGTTAGCCTTGGAGTATGCCCGTATGGCATCGATGGTTCAAAGTGGATGCTGTACTGAATTGCTGGTGCTAACCGCTCTATAGGATAAAGCATTTGCAGAAGGAATTTGTTGAAAGGAAACCTGTTGTTCCAAGCGGTCTCCACGTTTCTTTCTTCTCATGCCTATGACCTGAAGAAGATCCAACTGTCACAAAATTGATTGACCAGTGTCCAGTGTCGAGTGAACCATCCAGAGTGTTCAATCCTTCAAAAATCTTTGAAATCTCCAGCAGGATCTGAATCTGAACCATTCAGCCATTCCGTGTCAGGCAGCTCACAGTCATTCAGCAGTTCAAAATCGAGTGGGGTGAACCTTTCGCCGGGATTTTGCTGTCATTGGAGGTGGGGCGCGCGATGCCAACCTGGACCCATTGACATGCTCATATCATGGGTCCCCTTTTGCATACCAGAAGCAACCCCTTCAGTTGATGTCTCACCTTGCCTGGTATCACACCAGCACTGGGATCATCATGCTCCGTAGATCAGATACAAAACATTAGATATTTTAGAAATAGGCTAGGGTACTACCTTTTCTCGTTTCACAAGTTCCCAGCACTTGTCGTCTTCTCCTTTGAATACCCGCGGATCCGCCTGTTAGCCCCAGCTGAACTTGTTCTTTTTGTGAGTTAAAACTGTATTTTTGTTGATTTTGGCAGAAATTGGTTCACCCCTTTTTTTGTTGCTGAATCCAACAATTTTTTGGTGAATCACCACTAGGTCTTTTCCTTTGATTTGGACATGATCTCCATCGGTTGCGTGGCGCCCATGGGCCCAGTTGCCAAGTTTAGCTCCAGTGTCTCGGCTTTCGTTGCAGCTTTCCACTGAGGGACATGATCACAAACCAATATGGTCCAACTCATGAAACCAGCCAGAGAGTTGGAGGTAGAAGACCCAAACCTTGCGATAGCTACCCATTATTTTCATTTAAAAGACAAGTCCAAACCCTGCCCAGGAACTCTCACAGTGGTGGGGCTCCTCTTGGTGGCCAGTCTAGTGCATCTGCTGTACCTGGCAGTGACCAAATCCAAGACCTTGCAGATTAGCTTATTACTGAGGACCGCTTTTCCCTGGCCGGCCCCATGGGATGGCCGGTGGTTTCAATGTGTTTCGATTGTTAAACCAATGGAGGTTTCCTAAAAAGGGGGGTACCCCAAAACCGTGGGTCTAATTTTGGATGGTTTGGGTTACCCCTATTTTAGGAACCCGCCAGATCCACCAAGATTTGACCCCAATTGACTAGAAGATGTTTAAATGGGATGGTACTGAAAAACGATTGCTTTAGTTCGAGTGATCCTCGCCATGGCATTTCAAGGCATCTATTCTGACATATATTCTGACATTTTACCCAACAGTCTATCTGCCATCTATTCTGACATTCTATCTGCCATTCTTTCTGGCATTCTATCTGGCATCTATTCTGGCATTCTATCTGGCATCTATTCTGGCATTCTATCTGGCATCTATTCTGGCATTCTATCTGACATCTATTCTGGCATTCTATCTGCAATTCTTTCTGGCATTCTATCTAGCATCTATTTTGGCATTCTATCTGACATCTTTTCTGGCATTCTATCTGACATCATCTATTCTGGTATTCTATCTGGCACACCTCAAGTGCGGGGAACACTACGATCTAGCGCTTGCAGAGGTCCGGCGGGGAAAACTCTGATCCTGAGCTTGCTGTTCGGGTCCGGCGGGGAACACTGCGATCTAGCGCTTGCAGTTGAGGTCCGGCGGAGGAGGAGGAGGAGGAGAAGGAGGCGGTGGGACAGCTTACATAAATCTAACAACTCTCACCTGACAGAGGTGGGGAACACAAAATGAACTAAGCACTGTATAGCTATTGAAACAGACCCTGGTAGGCGCCACAAGGTGACCCCTCAGTCAGGACCTCGGGCACGCTTTTGTTGGTGTTCTTCATCTCGTTGTGCTCCTCACTGTTGGCACCCTTTCGGTGCAGCCAACATCCCAATGGTCGTTGGACCGTGCAGGCCTACCATGGAGTGCAACGTGGCCCCAACTGGACCTGCAAAACAGTGGTGGTTTGCAGAGGAATCCCGAAATTTCTCTCAGAGATGGAAGCTTGAGACACAAGTATCATTGACCATTTGGTGCTTGCATGGGCACCCTGCAGAATCCTTGCCTTAAAATCTCAGTGATGATGCGAGACAGCAAGATCTTTCAGATTGAGGCCATGGACTAGCCAACCATCGATCATCACTCCATAGATCCTGTATCTTACATGTTCCTTTTGTTCCTATACCGTACAGAAATAACCACTGCGGGCGATGTGGGAAGATGGCCATTGACTCCTGACGAAGCATTGATTAGAAATATCTCCCTCCTCATACTATCCGATTCTCACTGACATGGCCTGGTCACGATATTGGTTACCTTTTTGAGCCAAGAAGAGTAAACGGACAAAGAACAACATGAGCATATTATATATATATATATATTATATATATATGTAAATATATTGAAATATTATTAATATTTCATTACAATATTTCTCCCTGGCTGCTAGCACAATTGTGTCATGAAAATGATAGCCAGTCACATCCAGTCGCCTTTCCTACTAGTGGCAGGTCCCCAGAAATGTGTCAGGTGCAGCCCACTTAGCTGTAGATCAACACTGCATCCTTAACAAAGAATCCCGAACAAATTTTCAGTAGTTCCCATCCCAACTTGAAGCATGCTGCTGATTTAATTGGTGTATGGAGGGAATCTGCGGCTGAACCCCCGCGGTTAACCTCTACAGGTATTGCAATGGAGAAGGGGACCACCAAGTTATGGCGATTGTGGGTGGAGCCTTGGCCGTGATGCAGCACAACAATGGATATAGCAATGGGATTAATGGGATATGATCTACTGGATATAAGATGATACGAATGTGCTATTATGTTAAATAGGATATATATATATATTTATATATATGGATATATAATTATATATATATACACTGTATATAGGTTACACACAGTGAGTGTATATAATAGATTGTATATAGACAGTATATCCATCATAGGTTTGAGAATATAGACATATCAATCATATCACTAGCCACGTAAGATGGCTTTGTCCGAAATTGGGGGATATGGCGGGATGGGCTGTCAAGTTATGGCAAGTTTTTCATGGGGAAAATTACGATCAACCATGGAATTTAGGGATATGGATATCTTTTTTTGACCTAAGAATCCCCAAGATGTCCGAGCTGGACGATGAAGATGTGCTCCGGTACTGAATTTGTCATCTTTTCATCATGACTTGCTGGTTGGTGGTTTCAATATGTTTCAATAACATAGAGGTAAAACACCAACAACTGCAATTGGATAAATCCACTACTGCAACGGTGGGGTAGTACTAGTAGTAGTAGTAGTAGTAGTAGTAGTAGTAGAAGTAGTAGTAGTAGTAGCAGTAGTAGTAGTAGTAGTTTAGCATAATTTGGCTATTTAGGGTGATTCCAGGTGAGCTGGAATAGCTGAAACACATCAGGATTGGCCTGTTTGATGCCGATTGGTTTTGTGGCGATTTGCATGTGGGTCACTTGGCGGTGGAAAATGGAGGGGCAAGGATTCAAGTATCGGAGCGGCGTGTTTTGACATAGTGACATAGGTGCCCGAATCGGCTCGAATATAGTCTGATACGTGATGTGATCGAAGAGACTGGATTTGTTTGAAGAGGATCAGGAGCTATGAGTACTTTATTCAGCACGATTGCCTGGGTAGATGAGACAGCGTTGGTAGATGCAATTTCTTCAGGGTATGCACAAGCGCAGCTGTAGTTTTGAAGAGTCGAAAGCTGAGATAGAACCCAGTCAACTTCAACAACATGCTACAACTACCTGCATCCTCAAGCATGAACTATGTGTGATTGAAAAGTCTTGTGAGGAGCAGCCATGCAGTGCCTTTGAGAAATACCGTCATGGGCAGACCAAGTATGGTTCAAGCACTCACTGGGGCACCAGTTGGATCCCTAAACATGTTGTTTGGGGAATTTGGAGGGATCTGAACCCGGCAAGTTCCCCTTTGTGCAAATTTGTAGCTCTTTAGATGGTTGTGTCTTTGTAGCGCTGCACATGAGGCACATGAGTGTACTGAAGTAGGTGGTAGAGACGGCAACCAGGTTGCGGTCTGACAGTTCATTTGATCTTCAGTCTGTGTTGCGATGCCGAGGTCATCATCATTGAACTCCCAAAGAGG